ACTGGACCCCAGGTGGCCATGGTCTGTCCTGGAGCAAGGGGTTGGAGAGGCCCTGGGGGCAGTACAGAGAGACCAGTGAGGCTGCTGCATGAACTCCCCACTCCTTTCCCTTTCTCTGATGACAGCTCCTTGAGCTGTTGACTTGACTGGAAGGGTGTGACCTTTGTCTTAGCCTAGAGCCAAGGAGAGTGACAGTGAGAGGACTAAACAGTTCTAGTGTGGAGGAAAAGCTTTGGACTGAGAGTCAGGAAGCCAGAAGTCTGTTTCACCTCTAACCTTGATGCAGTTTTTGCTCCCTTCAACCCCCAGCCTTAGCTTTCTGTCTGTAAAGAGAGGGATTAGGATAGGTCATCTCAGCCTCTGTGGATTGACAGGACCTAATAATGGATATGGATGGCCTTGAAGATGTGGGAACAGAAGATGCGTGTGCCCTGTGATGGTTTCAGAATTAAGAGCCAGATACAGGCAGGAAGTTTAAAAGTGACAGTGTTAACAACAGCTGAACATATGGCACTCCCTGGGGTTCCCCTGGGCTCACATCTTTCCTGTTTCTTTTTCTTCCTCTTCTTTTTTTAGTTTTAAATTTTAATTTTATGTGTATAAGTGTTTTGCCTGCATGTATGTAAGTGCACCATGTGTGCATCACCTGTGGAAACCAGAGGAGGGCATCAGATCCCCTGGGACTGGAGTTACTGACAGTTATTAGCCACCATGGGGGATGCTGGGAACTGAACCTGGGTCCTCTGCAAGAGCAGCCAGTGCTATTAACTTTGGCGCCATCTCTCTAGCCCCACCTTTGCCATTTCCATTTGATGATTCCTACCTGTCCTTGAAACCTTAATCCAAATGCCCGCTTCCTGGTGCCAACACATTGCCTGGCATAGTGCAGATGATTTACCCATGCATTGATATCACTTTCCCTAGGCATTCCTGCTCCCATGAGCATACCTGTCCTTGGTCCCACTCCAGCACAATGCTGTACCCTGACTAGACTGGAAGTAATGAATGAAGCATCAGAATTGAAGACAGAGGTAGTTATAACTGGCCATGAGATCCTCTATCCTTTGGCATGGCAGTGTCAGCAGTTGAAGGTGGCTTGGCTGTGATGCCCCCTGTATTATGTGTGTGGCCCATTATAGAGGAGTAAAGGAGCCACCTATTTTCTTTTTAGAGCTAGTAACTTTTGCACTAGGCCTTCTCCTTGATATCCATATGAAATAACAGAAACAGGTAAAAAGCACAAGACAGAGCCTACTCCTTGCCTCTAAACTTTGCACTTGCAAGTGTTTAATGGCTTTGTGATAGATTTCTGTATGCACATGTCCTAGTTCATCCTTTGAATAGATTGTTGGATTTTGTGCACTGAGGCGTAGTGAATGGGAATGTATTAGGATAGAACTGGGAAGAAACAGGGTCTCCTGATGTGGCCTCTGTAGCTCTGATTCTCATCTCCTAGAGTCTCCAGGGAAGAGAGTCTTGGCTCTGGATCATTAATAAGAACCAGAGTATGAGATATTTGAAGCAGGGGGAGGTGAGAGAGCAAGCTCCCCATAGCAGAACAGCTTTCACAATTCTGTAAATAAAAACTGGTAGACTCAGTTGGGATCTTTCCAGAAACTTTATTCTCAAGCTATTTATTTTAGGTTCCTATTTTAAGTTTGTTTTCTGGCAAAAGAAAGATAAAGGCACTCAAGTGCTCTCAGTTCTCCTAGAAGGAAACTTTCTAACTTGGGGCAATTGGGAGCAATCAGTTGCCATCTGTCCCCCTATGTGGAGTTGGCTGTTCTCACAGTGGGCACTGCTTTGAATATCCTAGAAAGATGTGCAGAGATACAAAGTATACAGGCTTGAGCAGAATGTTTCCCATTCATTTGAACCATGAAGGGCATGCCCGTTGTACCTCCTCCCTGGCAGCCCACTGAGCAGTGAACATAAAGCAGTGGGACTGGAGAGCTTGTGTTCTAGTCTCTCCTACCCAGTGGGTGTGGCCAGCACTGGATGTGTGCTGTGGTCATCAGCTCCATGCTGAGACCACATTGGGTCTGCCTGTGTCTTGACTGCCAACTTGAGATAGTTAAAAAATAGTATATGGTTTAGAAGGCCTGTCCATCACAGTTTACCTCATGTATTAGAGTTATAAATAGAAATAGGAACTATTGATCCACCTGTGAAATGGAAGTTTTTAAAAATTTAAAAATTGGAGCCGGTCATGGTGGTGCAAGCCTTTATTTAATCCCAGCACTGGGGAAGCAGAGGCAAAGGCAGGTGGCTCTCTGTGAGTTCAAGGCCAGCCTGGTCTACATTGGGAGTTCTAGGCCAGCTGGGGCTACAGGGAGACCCTGTCTCAAAAAAGACCAAAAAAAAAAGGGGGGGGGTACTTTCAGTTTTAGCAAGGTAAACTACTTTTTCTTAAGTTTAAAAAAGTCATTTATTATTGTGAGTGGTGTATGCATGCTGTGACACAGATAGGAGGTCAGAGGTCAGCCAACTCCACATTTCCTTCCATCTTTGTATGATTTCTGGGCATCAAACTCAAGCGGTTAGGCTTTTACCTGCTGAGCTCTCTCAACCCAATGTAAACTGTCTTTAGCTATGAAACACCAGTGTGACAGGAGAAGGAGGAATAGGCTGAGGAATGGGACACATGTAGGGTTTAAGCCCAGCTGTACCACCATGTAGCTTTGTATCTTGGGACAAATTATTTGATCTCTTTGAGTCCCAGTTTTCTAGCAGTGTTATAAGAAAGCTTGAAATTTAGAAAAAAGTAGTCGTAGTTTATGCTCCTTATAAACGACACCTCTTGCCACCGTTACTGTTCCTTGTGTTGGTTCACACTGAGCATCCTTTACTTATGCAGAATCTTATTGTATTCTGATACCAGATGCCAACAAGCCTTTGTTGTTCATGAAGCTGATAGAGTAGGTTTAGCAAGAATTATCATTCTGGTAGCAACAGACCTGGAGGTGACACTACCACACTTGGGGGTGGGGTGGGGCAACATAGCCCCACCCCATGTTTGTTTGCTTCTGTCTTAATTTATTGGCTCACTATGGTCTATAATTTAATTATCTAGAATTCCTAGGGTTATAGGTTTCTTTCTGGGACACCCCCCCCCAACCTCTGGGAATTGAATCCTAGGGCTTTTAATTTTTATTTTTATTTTATGTTTTGCATACATATATGTAAGTGCACCACATGTAGACCTGTCACCCGCAGAGGCTAGAAGAGGGTGTCACATTTCCTAGAACTGGAGTTAAGAATGGGTGTTAGATGCCATGTAGGTGCTGGGAACCAAACTTGGATCCTTTGCAAGTGTTCTTAACTCCTAAGCCATCTCTCCAGCCCAAACCCTACGGCTTTGTGCATGGTAGATAAGCACTCTATGTCCCCAGCCCTGGAGTGTTTTTTAAAAAGGAAAAGAACTGAAATGTTGACATTTAATTTTCCCTAGTGTTTGTTAGATGCACATTAGCATCTTCCCAAACATCCTGCCACTGGAGCTCAAGGACAGCAAATGTGTTTCCCCTGGCAGAATCATAAGACTGGCTCAGCGTCCAGGAATGCCCATAAAAGGGCCTGGTCTCTTCATTTGCTCCACTTGTCAGGCCAGCATTGGCATTGGCTTATAATGAATTTAATTTTCTGAGGAAGAACTCGGGTACAGAGGGGTCTTCGGGATCTGTTCCTTGGTGAGGCAATCACAGCATGAAGATCATCTGGTGAAGCTGTGCTGTGTGTCTGTCTGCCATGCTTGAAAAGTGACTGTGTTAGATTTCTGACAGAAATAGCTAAAGTAGGCGAAGTAGGATCCGTGTAAATGAAAGTTGTTCTGTTTCAGACCGGCTGGTTTCATTTGAAAATGCCTGCCCCAGCAGAGGGAAATTGTATTCAACTATGTTAGCTTACTGGAATTACTCATGTTCCTTACTCCCACCTCAAATCAGAGATCTGAGTAGGAACTCTGGCTTCTTTTACTTGGTAAAGTTCTGTGTGTCTGATCTTTTTTTAAAAGCCTGATTGTAGCCCAGGCTGGCCTTGAACTCACTATGTAGCTAAGAATGACTTTGAACTCCTGAATCCTCCTGTCTCTACCTCTGCCTCTCCAAATGCTGGGATTACCAGCCTGTGCCATCTCTCCTGGTTTATATGGTGTTGGGGATCAGACCCAGGGCTTTGTGCATGCAAGGCAAGTATATTATCAATTGAGCTAAATTCCCTACCTCTTCTGTGTATAATCTTGATGTCCAGGAGAGGTGAAGAGGAACAGGGCTAGAGAGCCTGAGGTCAGATTGTTACTCTTTATGGTAACAGAGTTTGTTCTTTATGTTCAAATCTTGTGTATGTGGTCTTAAATTCATACACGACGTTGAGTACAGTCAGTTCCCTCTCCTAAGCACCTCCAGTGGATGGGCATACACTAGTTTCAGTGTAACATGTAAATAGAGAGAGAGGAGAGAGTTTCCTGGGAGAAGGCTAAATGGATTCAGTGAATGGGAGCAGAGGAGGAGAGGGCCCTAGACAGAGGAGGTGCAGAACAAAGGCACTGAGTACCAAACTGGTCCTTGCTGCCAGGCCCAGGCTTTAGACAGCACCACAGTCCGTCTGTTAGGAAGTGATTCTGATGTCCTGAACTTTAGAGAGGAAGAGCTGACATCCTTTGCTGAATTTCTAAGAAGGGGCCAGGGCCCTCTCTTAGACCAGTAGCTTCTGTGATGATTGAGTTGAGGAGGGATCTGGGAAGCTGTGGGAAGGTGGGTTATCTCTGGGAGTCTTCTGGGGTGCTGCGGACTGGAGGACCTGGGCGGGCACTTTCCCTCTTGACACTGTACTGCTGCTTTGGGCACAATGGGTTATAACAATATTTATGCTCCTGTAATCTGATATTTCCTCAGTGTTTATTCTGTGTATGTGTTCAGTTTTACTTGCTACTCAGATGGATCTAGCGGTCCAGGAACAGACTGCTCAGCAAGTACATTAACAGCCTCTGCTTGTTCTTGCAGCGCATGTAGAGAACGAGGAGCAGTACACCCAAGCTCTGGAGAAGTTCGGTGGCAACTGTGTATGCAGAGATGACCCAGATTTAGGAAGTGCATTCCTGAAGTTCTCTGTATTCACCAAGGAGTTGACAGCGCTCTTCAAAAACCTGGTCAGTGCCCGCTTTTTGTGTGCAGCTATGGTATGTGAAATGTGTATGGTGTTCCTGTTGGAAAGGTGGCCCAGCAATGAGTCTGAATGGCTTGTTTCTGATAAACTAGGAAGGCATTCCCTGGCTCCTGTGGAATCTGAAAAATTGCACTTTTCTGTATGTACACATTGGGCCAATTTGGAATAAAGTTTAAGGTTGTAATTTTTCCTCTAACATGACTTTTAAATTTAACTTGGCATTTTAAACATATTCAGGTACAGGAGGGAATAAGTAAATTCATTCATCTTCTTAAGGGCCTCTGACTTTAGGTCTAGTAGTTTTATAACTGTGTAGACTAGTCTGTGTCTGGTAATGATAGCAGGCTTTCCTAGTGATAATATTTAATAAATAGATTCAGAACACTATTACCTGTATTCAAAGCACGGAAAGTGCCATGAATATTTAAAGGCCTCCTGTTTCCAAATGCAGAGCTGAAAAGCAGGATAGAAAGAAATGCCTGACTTCCTGAACAAGTAGAAATGCAGGGTTGGTGCAGATGCCTGTGGCAGGTACTTGGTAACATGGGTATGAATTGGTCCTTTCTTGGGCTCGGCAGCTGTGAGCTGTCCCTGCCGTGGGAACAGAATTCTGAAGCAGAGGCAAGAGGACTGTTTGTGATCCTGCCCTTGTGGGTGCTTGTTTCCCGGAGTAGCTCTCCCCAGCATCTCCTTCCTGTTTTTCTTCCCCAGCTTCTCCTAAAGGTCCCAGAAGACCAGTCAGGAGCTGGGTCATGCCCTCTATGGGGGTTGCAAACAGCAGGGCCTTTTTCATTCCTCCTCCCAGCAAGCTAATAACAAGTGAAAAAACAGCTCATCCTTGAGATGGTGACGATACTGGGTCCGTAAGCCTAGCCTTCAGGGGGTGGAAAGCAGGGAACATAATGTATGAGTTAATAACAGGAAGGGCAGAGAGCAAGATCATTAAGGCTCTTGGTCTCTCTTCATCGTCACTTGAAAAGATTCCTGTTTTTGTTTTTTGTTTTTTTTTTAAAAAAAAAAAAGCTGTCACCGGGCATGGTGGCGCACACCTTTAATCCCAGACAGAGGCAGGAGGATCCTCTGTGAGTTCGAGGCCAGCCTGGTCTACAGAGTGAGTTCCAGGCAGCTAGAGCTACAGGGAGACCCTGTCTCAAAACGACCCAAAAAGAAGAAGAAGGAGAAGGAGAAGGAGAAGAAGGAGAAGAAGCTGTCAACTATGCTTGGGACTTTTTTTTTTTAAACTTAGATAAATTTGAAACCTTGGCATTCTGATGATGTTCATTACTCTTTGTCCCTGCCCCAAACAGTGGCAGGCTGCATGCTGCACCTTGGAACCACCCCAGGGATTATGGCAGATGTGCATAATTGGGGGGGGGGGAGAGGGGAAGATCTTCTTTTTGGGCATAGTCCCAGAGTAAAGCTGTCTAGATGTTGACATGATTGGGGTTCCGCTGGACAAAGCATGCTGTCTCATCTCCGAGCCCTTCAGTGGAGAGACCCCTTCTACACATGTGGAGTGGCCAGTCAGCATCTAAGTGCCTTACTGTGAGAATAAATAAGCATCCTCCAGAATGAGAGACCAAAGCAAGGAGGAAAAGGGTTGGAGAAAGAGTGATTCAAAGAGCAGAATAAAGCATTAAAGCAGCTCTGCTTAATATCTTAGAGAAACCCAAAGAGACACTGTGTGTCTGGGAAGGAAGCCTTGCTGGTTATTCAAGAAGGCTGGGGATGGGAAAACCATTAATGTAAGGAAGTATAAAAAATATAAAAATTAACCCAGAGATAGCTTAGTTGGTAAAATGCTTGCCTCACAAGTATGAGTTTGGATACCAGGACCCATGTAAAAAAAAAAAATCTTATTTGAGCCTAAATGAATACTCATCAGGCCATAGAAGTGCTGAGCCTCAGTGCTTGAGCTGATTGTAAAATTCACCTCTGTGTGTGTGTGTGTGTGTGTGTGTGTGTGTGTTTTATAACATTTTTGTTCCCCTTTTTGGTCACACTGTAATTCCAGGGTGGCAAGATTGGAAGCCAGCTAGCCTGGTCTACATGGTATAGTTCCAAGCCAATGAGAGACCCTGTCACAAACAAAAGGTGGAAGGCATTTGAGGACCAATACCTGACCTCTGCACTTGTGTACCAGAAACTCACACATGCATATCCCCCCCATAAATGTGTGTGCACACACCCTCACAATCTGACAAAAAGGGTCAGGATAGAAGAAATTACCTGGAAAGCAGATCAAAAAGAATAAAAGAAAAATCTCAATTAAGAAACAGTTAAAAGACAAACATGGATCCCTAAGCTAGCATTGAGTTTCTGAACAGCAACTAGAAACTCATGCGCATTTCTCAAACTCCTGCAGGATGTTAGCAAAAATGATAAGGGAAGCTGAGAAAGAAGACTCAGTGCAGTAAGGCAGGCAGTGAAAGGGAATGGGGAGGATTGCTGAGTGGTAGGTAGACAGCAGCCTGTTCAGAACAGCTGGAGACCGATGGGCAAGAGTGTGCACTCTTGTCTCTTCATCTAGGCCACCAGCATTTAAAATCTTTGCTCATCTCACCTCTCTTGCTAGACTTTCTCAGCTTGATTTTATGTATAAACTAAAACCAGGTAGGTGCTCTTACATGTATTAGGAGGGTCACGAGCAGCTTTCCATATCTTGGGGTCCGGAGTTACCACAGTTACATAGGTAGCCCAAAGCATTTTCTCCCACCTTGTATTTTCTGAAGAAGCAGAGGGCGGGGTGGGGCAGAGCAGGGCCTGAATGCTGAGACTTTTATGTTGCTCACTGTACTGTGGCTTTACTACTTGCAATACTAGAAGAAAATCAGAGTTCAGTTGCCACCAGGCTTTCTGCAGAGTGTGGAGGTCTTGCACACCCATGGTGTACGAGCATGGACATTAAGGATATTCTGTTTCCTTTGCCCTGTTGAACTGCTATGCAGGGTGATCTGTACTATCACCTCTTGAGCGTGGAGTGCACAAGCTAAGTAACTTAGGAGACCTAAGCTGGTGAAAGACCGAGTTAGGATTCAAAGCCAGGCCTTGAATGCCAAACTCATGGAGCTTTCCACTATTGACATTGAAAGGAGCCAAAGCTGCTTGTCAGCTTTTCAGAAGGAAAAGACTGAACATGAGAGAAAGCAATACAGGGGAAAAGTACAACAAACAGAAACATGCCTGACAGCTGGAGTGCCTGTTCCCTTGGCTTAAAGCGAGATGCCCTGAGATGCCTTGTCTCACATGGCCAGGGTAGATGTGAACTGTGTAAGTGGGGAGGGCTTGTAAGGTACTTCCCAGCACCTAGGTGACTTGTTAGGGCCTATGAACTTGCTAAATCTAGTCCCATGACATATGTGTGAGTTTAGTGTCAAAGGTTTTACTTTATGGAGATAGCCTTGTTGGTCTTATTTCCCAGCAAGGATAAAGATAGGACAAAATCTTCTTTGCACTTAAATTAGCCCTCACTAATGTGGACGTTGTCATCCATAGGAATACTGAACCACGGCTTCTAAGCGGGTGGTGGGAAAAGTTGTCTTTTTATGGGTGTTTTGCATATCACTCTTATTCCTGTTTTTGGTGACATTAATCTTATCACATGTTTTCAAAGCCTTTCCTTTGATATCTCTCAGACATTTTAAAAGAAGTTTCAGTTCAATATAGCTAAGATTCTCAGTTCCACCTCTTGTCCAGAAAGAATAATAATTATTCTATGCCTGCCTGTTGGGAGGCCTGGGAGGGTGTTTCTGAAGCAGTTGGAACAGCTCGAGGAAAGACTGCCTTAGTATGAAATGAGATTTTCCTCCTAATGGGTGAGATTCTCACCTTCAGAAAGCCTGTGAGATTTCTCTGTAGTCATACAGAGTAAAGAGAGAAACCAAGCAGCTCCAGAAATGTAACTTGTGTGACATTGAGCAAGTCACAGAGCCAGCCTGGTTCTTTAGTTTCTTTTCCCCTTTTCACATGCAGGTTAGAATCTTGGAGAGATTTTCCAAGAATTGCTTCTGTGATAAGTAAGTTGAATGACAGGTTGCAATTCAGGGCTGGTTTTTGCAAGGTCAGCTGCAGATGAATGTTTTCATCTTTGACTTCAGAGACTCAGTAATGGACTAGGGACTCATAGTCACAGAACCTGCTCCAAGCGAAGACCAGCATCTGTCAGAACAGAGGCCAGGGAGGTTCGGCTGAGGACGGAGCTACAGTGTAAGAAGACGCTGGCCCTGGGCTGAAGAATTTCTGTTCTCTCATTCAGAAAGAGGAACCCTGGGAGTTCCACCAGGCATCATGTTCCTGTGTCTTCATTGTTCTCTATACAAATGCAGAGTTAAAAGACATGAAGCTGTAGAGTAAGAGAGGGTAGCTAGGTTCTGTTGGGATGAGCAGCAGCCTAGTGGCTTTTTAGTATATGCCTGGCAGAGAGGTGGCCTACCTCACCCAGGAGAGGCTCCATCTTACCTAGTAGAGGTGCTCTACCTCATCTGGTAGAAGGGTGCTTTACCTCACCTAGGAGAGAGGTTCCCCCTCATCTGATAGAGGAGTGTTCCATCTCAACTGGCTGTTCTCCAGCATTGCAGCAGTATTCTTTTTCCTCCCAGCACTCTCGGACTTAGGTTGTGAGCCGACCTTTCATTTTAGTAAAGCTCATCCTGTCACTTAGTGGAGACAGCTTCTACCACAAATCCTTACCTCAGGACTATTATAGTCTTTTTTTTTTTTATTTTTTTATTTCAGCTTCTTTCATTGAAGCTGTATTGCATCTTAACATGTGTTAGCAATCTTTCTTATTAGGTGGAGGTAGTACTGATCATAATTTCTCTTACTGGGAGGATGACCTAGTCATTGCTTAGGCCATTCACTGATGAACTGTACTGAACTCTAGAGAAGCCCCCAGTGGCCTGTGGCTCTGTGATACAGGAGTATCTTCCTGGATATTAGCCCTAGACTATTGGACTTCTCATTTCCAATGTCTGCCTTTGAATA